TGTGTGTTCAGTTCGGGGCGTGAAGCACCGCAGCTGTTGATGCCTGAGGAATTAAAGAGTACAGTGTTGAAAGTAGGCACACGACGGTGTAATGGCAGGACAACAGTGCCTGAAAAATATGTTGGAGAGGATCCCAGAAAAAATCTTTTGTGTAGGGATACAGAGCGATGCAAAAATATATGTCAAAAAATGCCAAAAAACGCTCACTAAGGGGAGAGTTGGTAGAGTCCTTCTGGGCAAGATACCACTTGTAGAGCTACCATTCGATAGGGTGGCTATCGACATCGTGGGGCCGATCAACACAGTGTCAGGTAAAGTCAACATGTGTATACTGACCTTGGTGGACGTAGCTGCTAGACACTCATATGCAGTGGCCTTAAAAACTATAGACACCATTCAGGTAGCAGCGGCTCTGTTGGCAATGGTCTCAAGGTATGGTGTCCTGACGACAGCCTTTAGTGATAGAAGCTCGAATTTTCTTTCAGAGATGATGAAACAAGTTCACCGATTGATGTCCATTGAAAGTAAGTTAACCACCCCATACCACCCAATGGCCGAATTCCTAGTAGAACGCTTCAATGAAACACTAAAGCGATGCCAAGAATGTGTAAGGAAAGGCCCAAGGACTGGGATAGACATCTGCCAACGCTATCGTTCACATATCATAAGGTACCGCAGGCAAGCCTAGGTTTCTCTCAATATAAGATACAAGAGAACGGTTAGAGGCCCTATAACAATCCTCAAAGAGTTGTGGTCCAAGGAAGAGTTGGGAGTAGAGGAAAAGAGCACATGCACCTATGTGCTAGATCTGAGGAATAGGTTAGAATAAACGTGCAAATTAGCACAGCAGGAATTAGAACAAGCAAAACAGAAGCAGAAAGTGAACTATGACCACAAAGCAGTGCGTGGGGTGTTAAATACAGGGGACAAAGTACTGGTGCTTCTGCTCACAGAAAACAATAGAATGCTGACACCATGGAAAGGGCCATTCACAGTAACCCAAAAGAGTGAAATGGACTACGAAATTGAAATCCATGATCAGAAAATAGTGTTCCATATTAATTTGCTAAAGAGATATGAAGAGAGAAAGGAGGCTGAAAAGAAAAGAGGTAGCTACCATGTGCACAGTAATCACGGAAGAAAACAAAGAAGAGGTACCCACATATAATATTAAAAAAACTATGGGTGCAGATTACATGAGCCAAGCTATGTGAAAGTGCTGGAGTTTTGAACAGAATGTGAACATTGTGTGCACAGGACATTGTGTGCACAGGACATTGTGTGCATAGGACATTGTGGGCTTGGGACATTGTGTGCATAGAACATTGTGCGTAGAGGACATGGTGCACATAAAAATGACACCCTCGATAGGATATAAACAAAAAGTGCAGTAAAAAGTGCGAAACAATGTGGTCAGAGAGAAGTGAATTCGGATCTACCCAAGGAGGGCCCAAAGCGAAACATACGGCACAAGGGTGCAGAGGAAAAACGGAAGAAATTAGCAGTTTTTTTTGGAAGAAAAACTCTTCAAGACGGGGGTGAATGTCATGAGTAACAGGATGCAAGGTGTGTGCCGGGCGCAAGAAGGCGGCGGCAATGCATGAGACCCTGATGATGCAAAGATGCGCCACGCTGATGAATGAGACTGAACGAAGAGGCTTGCGGCACGCAACCAGAGCAGTGATCGAAAATCCCAGATGATGAGCTAGCACTCTGCTGTGGTGCTCCGAGCTGCGAAGACATGGAAAACCAGCGTTGCTACGACGACAGGAGCAGCATAGCCGCCCAGTTCTGAAGGATGTCGGCGTGAGAAGTTCGGGAAGTGGTTGTTGACCTCGGAGGTCCTATGAGGCTGCCTAGACTCGTCGCACCCTTGCCCAGCAGTTCCTGGTGGACATGCAGAAATCCTATTTCACGCCACTGCGGTAGCAGTTCACACCAGTCGACAGAGTGGACGCGTCAGAAAGGGAGAAAGAGTCCACGTCGAGCTAATACCCGTGACACACGGGCAAAAGTAAAGTTTTTTGAAGTAAACCCCTTTTGTCGCCTAAGGGGACCATTTGCAGAAAGGAGTGGCGCTGATGACACACGGCACCGGACTACTGTTTTAGGCGGTGCCTCAGAAGAACGCTGCAGAAAAAATGGCGCTGTTTGTGGAAGCAGCAAGATTGCAAATATTAAAAAGAATCTGCGCATGTACATCACATTCAGCGACGCCGGAGCATAAAATCATTTTTTTTTATTGTCTGGTGGCCTATATTGCGCATACCTGTAATTTTCTTTCGCTTTTTTGCGTTTTTAGCAGCAACATAACTTCGCCTGGCAACTATGAACAGTCGGTGTTTTGTTGTTTTTGTTTTTTGTCGTGCTTTTTACATGGCTGCGTCCAGCTGGGTCAGTGACGGCGTGCCGCGTTTCACTATGGGGAATACCGGCGTCGGTGAGGCTCTCGGCAATCGCCTGGTACACTCCACCGTTGTGCTTTTGCCCTCGCAAGGCGTCCAAATGGTCCTCCCATAGCTTTATCAGCGCGCAGGTCTCCTTTTCAGTCCACTGGACGCGCGGATTTTTCTTCACCGACTGAGCCGACTCCATTGTTACAAGATACTACGTCGCCAACACAGCAACTGCCGCAGCCAACCCTAACATGATCGCGCTAGTGACGTAATGCAGGCGTTTGAGAGTATGGACAGACTATAGGCCTTCACTTTTCAACAATTCGCACTGCTGCTGAAAATTAAAACATTTTTTCAGTGCAAAAAAATACTGACAGGGCACCAAAGTGTTGCGACACGTTTTCTTCTATTGATAAATTATGCGCACTGTATGCGAGAGTACTCCCTTCCTGCCAGAAAAGTAGATGCGGGATCTGCTTTTGCGGAAAGGATCTTTGCCGGAAAGGAGTTACTCCTTTGTCGTGTGTCACTGCGCCCGAACGCCTTTCCGAAAGATGTCCCCTTGTCTAGAGGACTTCAGGGTGCCCGTGTGTCAGGGGCATAAGCCTAGCCTAGCAAGGCTGAAAGCAACGATGAAGACCGGGGCACCAGCGGTGAGGACGAGCAGCTCGTTCGGCAGAACCGACCGACGGTGACCGTAGAAAGTTGAGAAGGACGTCAACGACGCACGTGACAAACCATCAACACAACAAAAGGGACGAGTCGACGCAAACTGTAAGAACGTTCGATTGTTAAGACGTCATATTGGCTGAGTAGTAACGACAAGGGCTAGTAACAGATTCAGACTGGTTTACAGTCGGCCTTGCTTGTAATGTCGTTGGGGTAATTTTGTGTGCGTCCGCGAGTGTTTGGTCTCACTAGTTTTTTTCCATTTTGCTTGTTTTTTTTTGTGATAAAGTGTTTGTTTGCCACGCCCGTCTACAGTCTCTCTCAATTGCATTTTTCGCAAGCGCTCCCGAGATAAATTCGTGACAAGTACATATCGGTTCTCCAACATGCTAACAAGCACACAACAAATCAACCCATTGTCATTGTCACAGAGTGATACTGAATGCCGCATTGAGCTTTCGTAAGCTGTTTTACCTCGAAATAAAATAACTTCCAGATGACAGTCTGAAATTCAAATTTACTCAAATATACTTGAGCTCTTCGAGCAATCGAGTAGAGGGTGCATATCGAGCTTGACTTTTTTTTTTTGTCAGGACCCCTTTAAGTTAACCCCAAGGGAACATAAAGCAAAGACTCATGCAGCTGTTTAAAGGGCCAGTAAACAGCCCTGAGGTACAAAAATTTTTAAAAGAGATATATGTGCAGTTTTTCTTCGCGAACATGCTGCTGCAAGAATTTTGCGAATACATAATATATTAGGAAGTTACAGGGGTTAGAACATCGGTCTAACCTGGTTACAAATTTTAGCGCGGCCTCAACCCCTTCTCCTTTCCATGAAGGGGAAGGCGTAGCCCATTGTAGCGACTCTACTCACTTCTGGAACGTGACACCACATCAGCGATTGACGTCATCGGCGAACTCGATCAGTCGCAATGCACTTCCGCTTGCTGCGAAGCGTGGTTGTTTGTTTACAGTTTGCCGCACCAGCCGCTGGTCAACCACCCCATACCACCCAATGTGTGTAAGAGTCAGGTGCGAAGTGTCGACCACAAACGATCAGGTCCCCAACGTACGTTGCCGGATGGCCGATTCACTTCAGACATGCAGCGCGCATGGCCCCATCACGAGGCACCCGGTGCCGATGCTTCTCCGTTGCCCAGTCGCTCGATTTGCAGCCGACGGCAGAGCAACGCTTTTTACCAGTGTTGCTCATGTCAAGCGCGAAGTACGTTCGTACGTGGGCACTGGCGCTATAGTTGAGCGAAGAGTGTACACGTGCACGCGACAACTGCGAGGCTGGTTCTTTCACCGCAGTGCCAAGAAACAAGGGGCCGTTTCGTAGCTGTTGGGTGGGAACAGGAACTGACGCTGACTTCACTACTTTTTTTTCACACCTGATTTAGACCAATCGGCGAGCTGCGTGTTACGTCATGTCGTCAATCGTCGAGTTGACGTCACAGCGCGTGCAAGGGTGTCAATCAGGCGTAGGAAAGATGTGCGGGAATCGTTTTTTGAAATAGAGGCTCTGCGCGGCGTGCAGTGCTGCAATATTCAGAAAACGTGATCGCTGCGGTTTAATCTATGAATTGCCGAGCTTGTATGGGGGGTGTAAAAAAAAAAAGTCGGAGCCTGTTTACTGGCCCTTTAAACAATGAAAAACATGTGCTGATAACTGGAAGGACACAGCAGATACTATTGATACCATTGAAGATACCATTGTGACCCCAACTTAGGGTTATATATAAAGTGCATGAATATTATGGCACATGAGTATTTCCACATTTTTTTTCTCCAGTGAAATGCAGCCACCAAGGCCAAATACCCAGCCCCAACATTGCACTTGGCACCACAATTCCATAGCACCTGTGCCACCATGGATTTTTTTTTTTTACAACAACCCTGCATGTTATAATAGACAGACTAGTTTCAACTTACCTCGATGCCCTTTATCCTCTCATTCCAATCATTTATCTTATCATCCAAATGCTTCATCACTTCCGAAAAATCAGTACCAAGAAACCTGCAATCATGAATGACAGCAGAAAAGAAACTTAAATATACGTAACATAAATGATGCTCACAGATACACTTTTAAATAAAGGCAACACATAATTTTCACATATATTTGACAACCCCTTGGCAATTATTTACCATTTTACGACTACTTCTTTGTGATCAGAAACTTCAATACCCACAGCATGCAACCTCTTTTCCAGAGTTATGCAAACAAATTTACTAAAAAAAAAACACATAAAAGTCAGGGTGCTGCATCCAATTTCCTTATGAGGATTTGTTAAACCTTGTCGGGTTGATCAAGTGGCTCGCTATTTTATGAATGCAACTATGTTAAACAAGTAGACAATAGAATATTATGCTAATGTCTCGAGGTCTAATTTTGTATTTTTAAAACTCGTAAGAGAAGAAACAGCTTGTGACTATGTCAACACTGACAAAAACTTTCTACCTCTAATGTCAATAACGAAGCTGCCCTCCTGATAAGCTTTAGGCAGCAAGAAGACTTTCAGCCCTAGAAAAACGGCATACAAGACAATCCTCGTTATTATAACGAAATGTGCTATTTTTGGGGTTCCTTAATAAATCACAAGACAAAAACTAAAGAAGGAAGGCAAGCTCCCAGTGAGCACGGCAATCTTGTCAGCAAGATACATGCACAGAAATCAAGCACTGCAGATGAAAGACTGTACTGAAATTCAGGGCTATCATGTTTCATTCTGTATCAAATAACATTCACAGAAAGCGTACTTCCACCACACTTGCCTACGTTACTCACAAGAGAACTATACCAGGGATAATCTAGCTGCAGCAAGAGCACACATGTCAATGAGTTCATGTGAACTCCAGCTCAGCTCCTATAATCTGGTTTTCCATGATGCAATAGCTGAACTCTGAATGTACTTCCATTCCCCACCATGTAGCAATTTCAAAACCACGATTATTGCATGGTTGCATGCCCTTACAGAAATAGATGCATATGGAGGAATCTGCATCCGTATGTGCTTGAATAAAATATTTTAAGAACTGAAATTTTTTTTTTTTCTATCTGCATACAACTGAATTGCGGGGTTTGAGATGCTGCAACCAGGCTACGATTATGAGGTACGCTATAGCACGGCACTTTAGATGAATCCTGACCAGCTGGAGTTCCTTGCCTGACCATCTGGATATGTGCTCAAATCTAAGTAGATGGGTGCTACTGGCAATATAGGATATATCAAACTCGAAGGGGATCGCGAAACAGTTTGGTATATTGATAATCTGAAATAATAAATATGTGTATTTAATGGCGAATTCCACTGGTACATCCAGAGCGGCCGCCAAAATCCTGCAGCGAGCACTTGGATTGCGCCAAACCAGATCTGCGAGTGGAACACGTCAATGCCCAGTGTGATGTCACTTCGAAGTTGTTTACTCATATGTCGCTAAACTGGTACCGGTTTCTATTCTGTCGTTGCAAATTGTGTCGCCACTGCAAAGCACACATTTTGACCACGCAGTCGTGGAAAGCAGGGTAGGGTACCGCTTTCCAAATTTAGGAGTGTAAACAAGTGCACAGGGCTACTAGACCGTCTCAAAAAAATCTAAAGGCAACGTACTGCCCGACTGTACCGAAAATGATGGCAACGCGTTATCGGAGTTTCGGCGAAATCCATCTTTGCAAGACAGACCACTTGGAACGCTCTGTCGCAGAGTGTGTTGCTCCGAATCTACCAGTAGAAAATGCAAACTTGCTGCGAATCTGCCAGCAGAACGTGGATTCTCAGCCGCGAAGAAAACTTGCTCCTGCTCAACGAGTGGAATTTGCCATAATGCAATGCAACCCTAGAAATTGCTTTCGGAAACTGTAATAAGCGGTAACATGACAATTCATTCCCAGTATGCTTTAAGAAAAAGGAAACTTCTTCTGCAAGTTGCCACACTTTATTTTGCGTGAAAATACCCTGTAGACATATCTTGCCTCTAGCACACTGTCAAGTTCAACAAGCCATCCTCATTAATCAAGCATTGAAACTTTCAAATAAGTAAATTTAGCACCTTCAGCAACAACAGCGGTGATTGAAAGTGAGCGCCGATGCAAGCTCTGTCATGCGGTGAAATGTTTAGCAGCATCGTTAGCATCTTCATAGCCACACGGGCCCACTTCCACAGCACCGAGAATGTCAGCCATGATATCGGCATCGATGCAGTCAGAAACAGTGACGTCGTCATCTGCACCGATGAAGTCGCTTTCTGTAATCCTGTCCAAGGTGGCGAAGTAATAAAATTTACTGAGGCACCGAACGTCGTTGCCAGCTCAGATGACGCACTCTAAGTCGTCACCTGTCACTGAAGCCCACGAGGAAACTGTGCATGACAGTGCCTTGCTTGGCATTGTTCCAAGAACCAGTAATCATTGTTATCAAAACAAGCAATGCAATATTTAGTTTGACTCCAGATGAAAGATGCAGCAGTAACGAAGTGCAAGTACTGAGTGCCCAAGCTGAAAGTGCCACTGACAATGCTGTCCACAAATAACAAATGACCATGTACCCCACCATTTTGGCGATGGCGATGACACTAGGGACTTGATAGCAGCAAGCGAAAAGAAGGAAGTGTAGCCTCCGTAACATGCTTTATATAACCAAAAACGCCAAAAATACGTCACACACGAGGATCTCAAAAGCCATGCTTTTCGTGCCTGCATGCCATCATGCACGAACAAACAAGAAAGAGAATGCGCAGATCGAGACAAGGCAGCCAAGTCACTTCATGTGACTTAGGTGCCCTCAGCAATTGGGCCCCTCTGAAAACACTCTTTCCATGCCTTACAAGCTACAACAGAGAGCCCATTACGCGCCAGTGCACTAGCAAATGGTGTGCAACCAACAAATTACATTGCATTTTGTCACCTGCGTGGAAGGAGGGATCGGAACTTCTTAGAATGTAGCTGAAAAATAATCAATCTTTGAATAAATGCACTCCATGGACTCGACACGGCACAGCCTTCTATATGTCAAATATTGCGCTCTGCAGGAGTTCTATACACTTGTGCATCAGTCCCATACTTCTGCATGGGAAATTCAAGGCGATTTATCAACTGTTCGATGTAGTGAATAATCTAATATATCCGACATTGATATACCCGGGATGGACTGTATTGCATTACCCTCACCACAACGCAACCAATATAGCCAGAAATTCAACCAAAACCCTAGACTTCAGCTGCAAGAATCAATGTTTGCCTCTAATGCAAGCATCCTGCTTGCACCGAGCAGAATGCACAATAAAGAGAACCATATATGCCAGGCACTTTGCATGCAACTATCAACTCGTCCACTGTAAAGTACTGGGCGAGTTGGTATAGATACATGCGGAAGCTTAGCATGAGGAAAACTGGGAACTAAAGTTAAGTGGAAGGAAAATCTGCACCTTATAGTTGTCAAAGACAACTATAGGTTTTCTTTTCATTAAACTTTAGTTCCCAGTGTTAGCGCATGCCCTGCCCGTTTTTTGCTGTGTACTGTTTTCTTCGCGACACGCTTTGCCATGAACACATCACATCCCCCTCGATTTTTTTTTTTTTTTTTTTGTGGTGCTGCTTAGACAGAATCGTGAGGCACTCTATGGCTCCAATAGTCTAAATAATTATCACCATGTCTATTTTCAAAAATGGCTGGAATGCTTTGCCAATGCCTATGCAGTAAACACAAAAAATGTTTTTGTCCAAGTAACGCTTTTCAGGAAAATGTGTTTTAGTGAAGCATAAAACTAGAGCTGGGCGAATAGCAAAATTTTGGGTGCAAAGCAAATATAACATTGAAGTGCGAGTGTGATTCGAATTTTCTTTAATACTTCGAAGTGAATTTGCAGAAGAAAAAGTTGGAGAGGATTCCTAAGCATATCTTTATAAGATAGCAATATGAAAGTGTTGCTTTTCGCTAGGTTGATGAAGCGCTGGCAGGATGGCGTTCCATAGTTATTCTATCGAGAATGCGATAATGCAGAGGCTGAATTGTATTTATGTAAATTATTTGGTGCAACCAAAGTGTTGCTGACAACACTCTGGCAAAGTTGCTCATTTCACATCCTCTCCTCCTCTTTCTGAACTTTTGTGGAATACCCACTGATGTGGAAAGGAAGGGTGTGCTCCCTCAAGTCTGCAGTTCCAAATCTGCCTTGTAGACGTCAATATGTAAGAACGGGTGAAATTTTGGATGCTAAGAATTCTGGGCAATCAGTTTTTTGGGCATCCTTCCCAAATTTCAGGTCCATAACATCCTTAATTGAGCCCCCCTCCCCTGCCACATCCATCATCTCTATGTTGGAGCCAGCGTTTTCTTGAATCAAAAGATTTGAGACTAACAGAGCCCGAATGACTGCTTTGCTGCAAGCAGGGTCGCACCAGCCGAAATACAATTTGGAGCAATTTTTGGAGCAGCAAAATGTTACTTTTGGAGCAATACATTCCAAATTTGGAGCAGTATAAAAAATAAGGCTTACATTTAGAAAAACAATTATGCATAAATCATTCACCATCACCTAAATTGTGCAGTGTCAACATGAGCACTGCTATTTCAATGAAAGTAGTATTTTGAACCACCCTGCTGAGCAAACTATGATAAAATCCATATTGGCATTTCCTGCGCCTGTCAAATCACTTGACAGACTCTGAATTTAAAGAATCTGCTAAGCTCACGACCTTGAAATTTGAGAGGTCTGTAAAACCGAAGAGTAGGAGTGGCAAAAAAAAAAAAAACTGATGCACAATTTAGTTTGTTTTTTAGGGAAGCAGAAATGTCATAAACTGCATCAAATGATTGCCAGTAGTTTATTTAGAAGTCAGTGATTATACTGCTACTCAGAATTGTGTGGCGTACAAATGCACGAGTAACTGAGCAAACTGTGCAGTATCCCACTAATGCTAACAGCTCCTTCTAAATCTCAATATGCTTTCTCGCAGGGCACCAGTGTACTGCGGCAAAGGTAGCTAAAGCAGCATTAGAACCAAAGCCAACAAATTTTCTAACTGCTACACCACCACCCCACTTCTCACACCCCCCCCCCCCCTTTTTTTTTCCACCGTGGGGTTGGGTGCCGCTCCAGCTCCCTCGCAAGGCACGTTCGACCAACTGCACACGCCTGTTGGGCCGGAAACAGTATCGGATATCTATCACTAGGACCTTGGCTAGGACGACACAACTTCAAAACAAAAGGGAAAATGTTTCAAGTACCACTGCTAAGGCAATCAGTGTGGTCGCTTGCTACGCCAGTGTTCGCAGCACGTCGAGCTTGTTTGCGTGAGGGAAACGACATACGCTTCCAGCTTTATTTCTTAACAAGCCATAGCCGCATTTTTAGGCTAGGAAATCTACATTTCCCATGAGGCGATAATGGCTACAGCAATGCATTTTTGTCTTAAAGTTCTGTCGTCCCATCAATAATTATCCGCTGTGGTCAGCGGGCCGATGGGGGCGCAACGTTGTTACTTTATCTGGTTGATCGCGTGTCGCGAGCGTAGAGCCTAGAGTATTTTAAGTATATTCTAGGCACTCTAGTTTGTGTCTGCGCACTTTGACCGATGACCCAAGCTGCAGATGGCCGACATGGCCTGCATTTCTGGCCAAAACTAGCGCACCTGAAAAACATTTTGAGGCTGGCTGGGCATTTTGGCGCCAGCATGACGCAATTTCAGTAAATTTCACCGGTTTGGCACAGCACGGTGAAACAATCAGAAATCGTATCAAATTGGCACAATTGGCACGGCTGTTGCACCCCTGCACAAGACGAGATGTGTTGAGGTGAAGCATGTTAAAAATCTGTTGGGGACACCTAACAAGGCCCCACTAACATGGCCCAACTAACATGGCAAGCAAGGCCCAACTAACATGGCAAGCAAGACCCAACTAACATGGCAAACTAACCAAGGCCCAACTAACATGGCAAGCAAGGGTATGCTCGCTTCAAGTTTAACAGTAATGGAGCCTGAAAGGCAGTTTTGTCACAGTACGAGAGATGGTTGAAGCATATGAAAAATCTGAAGGGCCACTTACTCTCGAACGTTGACTGTATTAGTCTTGGGGAAGTTCGACCTTAGTGGAGCCAGAAAGGCAGTTCTGCCATATTCAAGAGTGACGAGGTGAAGCATATTAAAAATATGAAGGGGTTGATGATTGATTTGTGGGATTTAACATCCCAAAACCACGATATGATTATGAGAGACGCCGTAGTGGAGAGCTCCGGAAATTTTGACCACCTGGGGTTCTTAACATGCAGCCAAATCTAAGCACACGGGTCTACAACATTTCCGTCTCCATGGGAAATGCAGACGCCGCAGCGCAGCCGGGATTATATCCTGCGAGTCGGAAGCCGAGTACCTTAACCACTAGACCACTGCGGCGGGGCCAAAAATCTGAAGGGGTCACTTCCAATCGGACGTTGGCTGTATATCTTGAGAAGTTCAAATAAATAGTAAACCTCCAGTGCGAAGCAAATCAAATAGCTAACACTATTAGAAAAATATTCGAAGTTTTGAATATTCACACACCCCTACTATAACCCATTCAATGTTGTGTAGGCAATCAATATTAAAATTTCTGCAAGCAAATAAATGATTCTGATGATTGCCTTTACTATCTGTTCAATAATATCATGAACCCTCAATGAAAAAACGAAGGCTACGGCTTGACTCAAAGTGTAACAAAAGGAAGCCCAGGCTCAGTAGGCTGAAACAATAAAAAAAAAACTGAAAAATGTGACATCATGATAATTAAACCTCATTAATTACTAAACAACACTGCCATGATCATGTGAACCTAATATAACTTCTGAAGACAGGGCAGGAAAGTCACAATTTTGTTCATAAGATTACACAGTACTTTCCCAAACTTTAAAATATCTGCAATTCCTTTGCAAATTCCATAATTTTTTTTTTAAACAAGGGCCATTGCATGGCTTTTTTTTTGGTGTCGTGATTAGGCAGTGCTCCAAGAAAAAATAAAACAATTGCATTATTTATAAGGCAGTGGCAACTCTGGGAAGTACCCAGTCATGCCCACATTACCAATAAAAGTAACTGTGTTACAATTAAGAATTTATACAATTACAGTCACTGTGAAAAGAATATCATTAGTTTTCCATAGCTTAGTAAAGATAAGAATAGATCGCAAATCAAATGAGAGTTCATTTAATGGAAACTACAAAGGCATGCAGGTAGTCGAAGTTGCAAGTGATTAAAACCTAGACCTAGGAAACCAGACACACACTCAAGCTCAACACCAGCACTTGCTGTGTACACCTACATTTGTTGCATAAATCTTTTTGTTGATACACCCTTGGTGTTGGTGAATCAATTTGAAAAACTCAGTGTAGCTTGAGATGAGTTGTTTCTCAAAGTCGGGCTTCATTTGCTTGATATATGTCGCATTTTTTACGGAACAGACATAACGCCAGGGTGCTGGACAGAATTTTCGTACTCTGTTGGATACAGGGATGCTGTATCCAATCTCCTCTTTTAAACTGTGAAGGGAGCCATGTTGTAGAGATGTGAAAGGTGAAGAGAATTTCGGAAGAAAGTTCGAGAAACAGATAGCGAAAACTACACGTCAGCCTTTAACGAGTGTTGATGTTTGATAATTATTATTAAAAACAATAGAGGTAACGGCATTTCCTGTTAGAATTAGCAAGTAAAAAAGTAACAGTGTTATATTTACTGATAATACATTAGAACTAACTAGTTAGTGTCCAAGCCTGGTGGCAGAAAATAACACTCAGACTATGCTAAAGCCTTTGAGTGCATCACTGGCACATAGAACAAACACTCTAAAAGAGAGAGGCCCTGCCATAGTACAGCTGGACCCAACAATAGCAAAAAACCATGGTCGTCATTCCATGCTGGCCCAATGGCACAGTATAAATTTCTTCTTTAATGAACTACAAGTTAAAAAAATTGTAAAAAAGGACTCATGAGAATTCATTTATTGCCCTAAACATTTCATGCCTTTACTGAAAGGTGTGCAATGTTCCTGAGGCAATGGCAAGTTTCTGTAATGTGCAAAATATCTTACATGATAAACTGCTTTGTCAAGTCATTAGGCACTCTGCATGCTAACACATCACTGCAAGTGAATGCTAAACACATGTAACAACAGAAGCCACACAATAGGGCACAGATAGAGGGCAACATAAGTGCATATTCACAACTGTTTCACAAGCACCTGCCACAAATGTTCTTGCTGTATTGATGACGAACTGATTCACCCAGCCAAGAAAATTCACCCATACAAGAAAAGATGAAGGAGTTTCAAGGGCTCGTTTTTTTTTTTTTAGGCAAACTATTATTCAGAAGTAACAGACAACGCCAAAGAAAGTATAGGAGATGTAATTGGTAGTAAAAAATATGATATAAATGAGAACAATATAAGTGGACGAAAAGATAACTTGCCACTGACAGGTACCGAACCTGCGGCTAATGCTCTTGCTTACACAAGTGATTCTATTGAGTCGTGGTCATAAATTTTGCATTCCTAGTTGGCAAGTGATAGCACACGACTAACACAACATCCTCAGACTTTGCCTAAGGCCAGTACGAGAAGCAATCTGTGCCATCAACTAATCCTTCTAGAATTGTTTCCCACCATTGCAAATATAAACAGTGTCCTTTTTTTTCCTTTTAAAATTCTTCATGCTAAGTCAAGACTAGGTTATCTTCAGATGATCAATTGGAGAATTCAAAATTCCACATTGCTTTTCTTTTTGTCTCGCAATCAATGAAGGTTAGTGCCAAAAGTGAAAGCACATTTAACCTGGCTGTATGTATATATGAGCTACTTTCGCCTGGGAAAGGCTTTGAAGGCAGTACTAAACAGGCACCTTAACAAGCATTCTTTACAACGCATCTAACGTTACCCACGTAGGGCCTGTATGCTCCTTACTAATACCTTCCACGAATGTTTAATGCAGCAAATGGTTGCATGTTTGTAAACACTAACATTATCCTTCATTATGACTTCAGGGAGCCCCTAACCCGGCTGCTGAAACATCAGAGTATATTCAAAGGTGCCAAGTTAATTTTTATGCCACATAAATTGACCTGCATGAGGGCAGCATTTCCTCATATGCAGAAAAAGACATGACAATAGAGGGCACAAAAAGAGATGCAAGCAAGGCTTCATCATGCTTGTCTCTCTTTTAGTCGATAACGTTTGCAACACTGCAGCAATACTTCCACGTAACAAAGCCTATGAATAAGAGGTCTTAGAATGCATCACTTATGATGTGCAAAAGCTTGGAAACATGTTCACGCCTACCTTGTAGGCGCCACAGTATACAAGATGCGTAATTGTGAAGGATAAGTACAACTCGGTTTTCGCAAATGTTCTGTTTATATTGAGCTAGTGACTGTTACCGCCCACGCCTTCTTCATGCAGCAATCACGTTACCTGCTATGCCCAGTATGATGGGGGAAAAAATGGAATATAATTGCTTCCCTCACTATAACCTGCGCCACGCGACCCTGTTCCTCACAGCCGAATTAACGCAACAACGGTGATTACTGAAGAGCACGCATCATGTGTGAAGCTTACAAATAATGACACCGACGTAGAAACAAGTGCAAAATATCGGAATGAAACGGCACACCTACATTCTTCCGCAAGACCGATACATTTTCGCGTCGGGATCCTCGGAGACCAATTCGCCCGTACAATAGGCGTACTTGACTGCTCTCTTGAGGCTCTCGATCCGCACGTCAGCCTGCCGCAGACGCTTCGTTGTGTCAATCATTTTCATTTGAAGATCTTGAAACGCCTGCGAATGACACATGGTTCCGGCAAACTCGACATAAGCAATACAGTCTCAGAGCTTGCGCGAATTCTGCTGAACTCCGTCACTTCGTGAAACAATTATGCATTTCTCAATAGCCACAGGTCCCAAAATCAAAGAGAATTTTCAACAATAACCACGTTTTTTTTTTACCTTTTTCAGCTCCATGTCGACTGGTCCGGCTGCCATTTTGCTGATGCCTCTAGCGATGAGCTTCTGAAGCCCAGCTGAGCCGCTGTTGACGATGTTACCCACCTTTCCTTCCTCCGTGCTGTTACCACTGTCCCTCAAAACGCCTCTGTGCAGCGAGTACGAAATATTGGCCGCACTTTTCCCCTCTCATTTCACTTATGATAAATGTATGTCAATCAATCAATCAGAGTTTTTTATTGATAGAAATGGAAGAAACTACCTCATGTTAAGTTACATACTGTTTGAGCAACTCTGGTTTGTAACAACAGTACCAATTATCGTAAACTCCTCTGTGATCGTAAATCTCAATTCGACCATAGCCTCCTAGATTTCCTTTACCAGCTGGATTATCTCACATGGAAAGCGGCTGTCGTCGGAACTATGGTAGTGGCGCTACCTAAGTAGGGGTGTCTTCAAATAAGCCTTTACATTTTTGGAACTTATATGCAACAAAAATAACGCAAAAAAGTTTTTTAGAGGCGTAAACGTAATTATAATTAACTCTACGTAAGTGACGCCGTCATGCATTCAGCAGGCAACTCTTTCGAAACAAGGCATAGCCTCTGAAGTTAGTAGCAAAAGTCAAAATTGCCGATCTCAAAGGCCAAGTACTAAGACGCTTATCCCTACGTAGGCAGTGCCGTCATAGACGACGGGCGTTTCGCGCTCATCCAGCAGGCAAGGGAAATCTAGGAGGCTATGATTCGACTAAACACGTTTGCAACAGAACAGTTGACAAATATACAAACTGAAAAGAAAGTATAAACAGTAAAACAAAATGAAGCAATGAACAATGCTAAACAGTAGAACAGGAAAAAATAGAAAAACTATAATGCATAAAATGTGGAAATATAAACAAAATGAACCTATATAAAGTAAAAATACAGACGTTGATTGACGATTGATTCGTGGGTTATAACGTCCCAAAACCACCATATGATTATGAGACGCCGTAGTAGAGGGCTCCGGAAATTTCGATCACCTGGGGTTCTTTAACGTGCGCCCAAATCTGAGTACACAGGCTTACATTTCAGCCTCCATCGGAAATGCAGCCGCCACCAACGTTACTAGAATCTAGTAACGTTGGCCGCCACAGCCGGCATTTAATTCCGCCACCTGTAGGTCAGCAGCCGAGTACCTTAACCAGTAGACCACCGTGGCGGGGCAAAAATATAGACGTTAAACAGTTGTTATTTCAGAAGACAGCGCAACCAGAGGAGCCAAAGGGCAGAACTTGTCACTCAGAGGTCAGATTTAGTGATTATCTTATTAATACATGAAGGTCACTGATCCGAGGAAAAAGCGCGAGAAGCATGGCTCAGACATGGCGTAAAGCACCGAAATTGAACTCCCGGTCAATGGTCCTTGATAGTGTACAAAACTGGGCAAGTTCGTTCAACTTGATGGTTTAAAGCGCAGCGCTAAAAGATGATATGCGATGAAGGAGGACACAGAACAAGCCCTTGTCATGTGTTCTCCTTCATCATGTGTATAGTTTTTTTTAACACGATTTTTTTTTTGCCAGGGTCCACCACGTACTAAATCTTTTGTGCATTTTCATTATAATCAGTGTTGATATGGTGCAACGGGCTCGCGTTGGGTAAAGTCCCTGGATATCTTTAGGAAAGTACCGCCATTCATTTACCCAGGCCGCCGCGCCACGCATCCTCCTCTCTCATCTCTCGGGCCGCCACAAACATCGCGCGTGTTATTAGCGTGACATAACATTCTTGATATATAGAAAATCGGCACGAGCCGGGTAAAGGGCCGGCGCCCGCACGGTGTCTGTTCGGGAGAATATATAGATAAGGTTTGTATACTTTGGAGAGGAGGGTTGGACTCTTTGGAGAGGATATGGAGGAGATGTGTCGGTACTTTCTCCTTATCAAGGGACTTTAGCGTCCCTTGATATGGAGATAAGGTTTGTATACTTTGGAGAGGAGGGTTAGACTCTTTGGAGAGGATATGGAGGAGTGTGTCTGTACTTTCATTATATCAAGGGACTTAAGAGGATATGGAGGAGAGTGTCTGTACTTTCTCCATATCAAGGGACTTTAGCGTTGGGCGCGCTCTCGAAGCCCCGCCTCCACGGAGCGTGGGCGGTTCTCGTGCACGCGCGCTCATCAGACGCGTGATTCGGCGCACGCTGAGCGGCCGCATTTATGAAAGGAGTGCGATGCCGAGAAGAATTGTAACAGTTATTCGCGCTTGTCCTGTGTATACTTGTGCGCTCGTTTCGAGCTGCTTGTCGTTCTCAACGTGCGGGACTTAGCAATTTGTTGCTGTAGCTGAAACAATGCACAATAAACGCTCAACTTTCTCGGTGACAGTTTTCACTTTCATGTTTTTTTTCGTTCTGTGTTTTAAAGTGCCAAGTAACATCTGCATACATTTTGTTTTTCGTGCTGGCTTACGTGATGATTGAATTGCATTTGAAAAAGCTCGTTCTAAAAACAAATGCTTCGAATCGATGCAGGCCAAACACAATCAAGTTTTACGACACTTTCTTTCATGTGTCCATCGCTCATCACCCCTTTCAGCGCGTGCGCAGAAAACATATAGTTACATTAATGGGGGTCAGATAACACATGCTCGTTAAAACTGCCCTCAAATTTATATAGCATGTTCCAGTCATTTTTAGCCATATATTAAAGCAAAGATCGACGCGTTTAAATGCATGTTGTATGACTGTTGCTTGGAGTGAGTCACACTATTTTTTTTGTGGATGGATGGATGGATGGATGGATGGATGGATGGACGGACGGACGGACGGACGGACGGACGGACGGACGGACGGACGGATGGATGAATGGATGGATGGATGGATGGATGGATGGATGGATGGATGGATGGATGGATGGATGGATGGATGGATATGGCTGTACCCTTTAGAACGGGTGGCAGCTAACGTCACCTAGCCGTAATACTTAGTGAACCAACAACTAGATTTATCTTTTTTTCCTTTAAATAGTGAAGTTGAGCACTGGACGAAGGATTTAATTTTAATTCATGCCTTGATTCTAGCCACTAATTAGATAACCTTTTTCTAGTTATTTCTACCCACTTAAAGTCTATTTTGCCCTCGCTGTCCCTAAACCCCAGTGCTTTGAAAAACTCTGCGCCCTCATACTGAATTATAGGGTGAAGTCCTTTACAGAACATTATCAGGTGTTCAGCCGTTTCTATACTCCTCTCCACACACACTGCATACCGTGTCTACCCCTTCATATTTGGCCCGATAAGTCTTGGTTCGCAATACTCTCGTCATGGCTTCAAACAGTATAAAACTACCCCGAGTAATATCATAGATCGTTGGCTTGGCAATTTCCTGCTTAAAAATTCGATAGATCTCTAGTGCGGACTTCTTAATCATGTCAATTTTCCGCATATCGGTCTCCATGTTCTTCACCTTCTTCTTAACCGATAGTTCTTTTTTTTTTGTTTGGCCGCCTGCGCTTTTCTAAGTACTTATCCGTCAATTTTCTGGTTCGCTTCCTCCATTTTGTATCGACATTCCTCATATACATGTAGCTGAAAACCTTCCAAGCCCAACGATCCTTCCCCATTTCTGTCAATCGCTTCTCAAATTTCATCTTGCAGCTAGCTTCCCTGTCCTCAAATGATGTACATCGCATGTCACCTTGTACTCCCTCATTTGGTGTATTCCCGTGAGCTCCTAAAGCAAGACTATACTTACTCCACGTTGCTTAATTTCTCATCTTGCTTGAACTTCTGATCTCATGCACAAGACCGCATTGCCGAACGTCAGACCAGGAACCATGACCCCTTTCCATATTCCTCTCACAACATCATACCTATTGTGATTCCACAGTGCCCTATTTTTTATCACCGCTGCATTCCTGTTACCTTTAGTTGTTGTTCTTGTTGTTGTTTTAACTGTTTTGCTGTGGAGAGGTTGAGGAGCCTATTGCCTCGGCTACTCCATATAACAGGGTTCTGCAGCTAAAAATAAAAAACAAACAAAAAATAATACAGAACGGTACCCAAAAATTAACAATACGGAAAAGGAAAAAAAAAACACATAATAGCACACTGAAACCAGTTCAAATAACATGTAAATACACAGTTTTCTTCACGCAGTTCACACAGTCATAAACTACTTTCACGCACACCTTACTACTCTAATGCCAGTATATACATGACCACCCTTTACATAATACTCATTTCTGGCTGTCAGTCATAGGCGCTTGTCCAGTCCGGTCTCCACTAAAAAGTCTGTCAGGAAGATTATTGCCTTTTTCTGAAGATGCATTTCAGGCCATGGTCCAAGTAGTTTCTTTATTGTGAGGGGCTGTCTGTCCAAACTTGCTAATTTGTTCCTTAATTTTTCTCTTTCTTTCGCGTATTTAATGCACTCCAAAAGAATATGGCGAACATTTTCTTCTGCATGACCACAATGGCATTCCGGTGAGTTGGATCGATGTATCTTGTGCAGGAAGCTGTTTGTGTATGCTACTTCCAATCTAAGTCGGTGGATCAATGTCTCTAGGTGTCGTGGAAGGTCTGTCGCTATGGAAAATTTTCTGTGTGGATCAACTTCATAAAGTACCGTTTCCTTTGATTTAGGGCTCTCAAACCACTTCTCCATCGAACAATGGTTAGCTCCTTGCGATATAAAATGTCGAATATGCGTCCCAGATATAGGGATTGTGCAATCCCGTCCTTCCTTCAATGCTTTCTTCGCGAGACTATCAGCATCTTCATTTCCCTTTATTCCAATGTGGCTGGGTATCCATTGGAATACGATGTTGTGACCCTGCGATGAGGCATATTCCACAGTTTCTGCGATACATTGTGGTATTTCACCATTTCTGTAAGGTGATCTCACATTTCTGATTAGCTGAAGAGCAGGTTTGCTATCAGTGCATATCACCCATTTTCGTGGATCTGGATTCTCGCAGATAAGCTTAACTGCTTCAAAGATAGCCACCAATTCTGCTGTCGTCGATGAATATTTGTGCGATAATTTGTACATCTTCTTTTCCTGAATTTCGGGTATAAAGACCGCACAGGCTGACGCTTCTTCTGTGCATGATCCATCTGTATATATCTT